AAAAGTTCTTTGTTAAGGAAACTTGAAGATAAACGTAAACTTAGTCTTACATTTGATGAGAAAACTACAGCAAAAAAAAGAAGATTTATAAATGTAAATATACATTATAATGAATGATTTTAATTGCTTGGAATGATTAGAATTCCAGGTACACAACAAAGCAGCAAAAAAACTATTAAATTGATCAGCAATAAGCTTAATTCATTCAATTTAAACTTGGACAAAGACTTTGTTGATGTACTTTGTTCTGATAATAACCTTGTTGATGGTGATATGGAAGCTGTAGATTATGATCAGGGTTACAGTGATGATAAAAATGGAACTGAAGTTGGTAATGATATTCAAACTGTTCATGAAGTTGGTGATGATATTCAAACTTTTCAAAAGATTCTATTCCATTATTGAAACTTGAATAACTAGAAACTGTGCAAAAAAAAAAAGAAAATTTGTTAAAAAATTTCTTAGATCGCTAGTGAGCAATGATGATGAACTTCAACCCAATATAATTAAAAAATATGGAAAAGAAAAAGCTTTGATTTGTGATTCAAGGAAAACATAGCGCAGGACTATTGATAGGCTTAAACGTGTTTTGGAGGTGCAAACAGAGATAAAAATAACTCTGATCGGTATGAATACTAATTTTCTTCTAACTAAAATTGAGCTATGTCATAAAGCAATTAATTCAGCCATCTAACAATAGCTCTGATGATGACAAGGAAGTAAATAGTATAACTGATAGTATAACTGATTACATAAAAAGTATTAAAAAAAAACTGAACTTATCTCAACAACTCATCCTTTTTATTAAACAATCAGACACTGAAATGAAACTTGACCATCAGGAAATTAAAACAAAGCTCGTTAAAAAAAAAAGGCTGTTCTTGAATCTAGCAAAGTTAGGCTGAAGCGTTCGGAATTACTTTTCAAAGCTCCTCACACAATTCCTTCTACATCCGTAGAAGTTGAGAGAGCTTTTTCTAGTCATGGACGTTTTGTTACTAAAAGTTCTTTAAACCACAAAAATTTATGTGCACTAACCTTTTTAAAGCAAACTATGAAGAATACTCATTGATGTTATTTACTTTTGTCCTATTTAATGATAATAAAGAAATAAATACTTTTACGTATAATTTGTATTACTTTTGTCTGAATTAACATTTCTAGAATAAAGTTCCAAATAGTTCGAACTTTTTTTCCGTAATTGTTCCAAAATAATTTACTTTTTTTTTGAAAACCAAAAGTTTTTTTTAAGAATATAAACAAATCTTTTTTAAAGTACAAGTGGCGGCTGCGACATTCTACTGAGTATAAACAATAAAATATAAATATAAATAAAATGAAACAGCCCAAACGTGCATAAATACCATTAAATAACAATATAATTGAGAAAATAAACCTATTCATATTCGTTGGTTTTAGAAGTATTGTATTGTTAAATATTTTGAGTCCAATTTTTATATTTGACCTTCAATACTGCTCAAAGTTACTTCATTGCTTTTTTTCGGTGTTATTATTTTCATAGGAGATATTTTTTCAATATAAGTACCTTAGGTTTCTTTTACCCTAGTCTTTTAAGTCATTTTTAATTTTTCATTTTTTTTCTAAAGTATTTTCCTAATATGGATATGCCGAGAAGTTGGTTACGTAGTTTAGTAATATCTAATGTACTCTTAGCTACTGTAGTTTTATTATCAGAATTTGTAGTATTCAGTTCAGAAATATCATTAATTATTTTTTAATAGAATTTTATTGATAGCAAGAAGAACCTAATTTTTTACGTCATCTAAGAGGGATTTAATATTTGCCATTAATAGTTCAGACATATTTGGTTTGTTGAAAAGGAATTAGTTAGAAGAAGTATACTTAGATAACATTTATAATTTGATAATTCGATTACTTGATTAGATAGATTTAACCACAATTAAGTAGGAAATGCGCCGTTTGTTGATAAATAAAATTCAGGTCATCTTTACCTCGAAACTGCCTAACACGAAGAAGTGGCAGAACTAAGAATAATAACAACTCCAGAGTGTATTCCAGTATTAGATTAAGTGATCTAAGAGTAACATTAATGGACTAAAGGATAATAATAAATGATAAAATTAATTGATAAAATTTAAGTATAACATTCAAGGATAACATTCAAGGATAACATTAAAGGATAACATTAAAGGATAACATTAAAGGATAACATTAAAGAATAACATTAAAGAATAACATTAAAGGATAGCATTAAAGGATAACATTAAAGAATAACATTAAAGAATAACATTAAAGAATAACATTAAAGGATAAAATTAAAGGGTAACATTAAAGGTTAATATTCATGGAGCCAAAGATAACAACAGCTTCAGAGTGTATTCTAGTATTGAATGCCGTAGTGTCACTGGACACTACGGCATTGTCTATGTCATTCAAATCAGGAGATATTACACTGACTTCTATTCTTTCTACAAAAACAGTAATCTATTGATCTACTTCAATCTATTTCACCCTATTTCCATCAAAATGAACTCGTTGCTTTTTTTTCCTTTAGAGATATTATAGTTTCTTGCCTAAGCTTAAGTACTAATATCTAAATTTTTCTGAATCTCTTTCTTTAAACTGCAATTGTTGAATAATTAATATTTTCTAGATTCTCACCAGCTTTATTGCAAATAGCAGCTACTAAAGAAGATTTTGGACGTATACCTAATCTGAATCGGGCAGAAACTGCAGCAGTACAGTTAACCAGATCTTCGGCACTTATACTTATTTTAATCTTAGATTTAATAGAATGACTGAATCTATTAGATAAATTTTCATCATCCAAAGAATCTAAACTAAGTTTAGATTTAGAATCATTTCCAAATGAACATATAGAAACATCAAGATCATTTGTTTTTACTGCATTCATTGTAATTCTACCTTTATCTCTAGCCTCCTCCATCCTCTTGAGCCGAACATTTTTTTTAACTCAATTTTGTAATACTAAGTTTTGTAATACATTTAGTTCTTCTGTAATACAAATGCATCGCTTTACTTTTTCATATAGATAAAACTGATTATTCTCTTCTTCGGCATTCTCAGAACGAAAACAATCTTAATTCACTATCTGTTCAAAATTTGCCAATGAATTTTCAAAGAATGTAGTACTTACTTCTAAAAAACTTATTCTGTATTTTAGAGAAGTTTCCATCACTGAAGTTCCAGTTTAATTAATAAAGATGATGCAGATTTATGTACTTATTATGGAGATTCAGTATCTTATCCCTAAATTTAGATCCACTGTTGATAAAATCTTGAGACCCCGCTTTCTTCCAAGAGTCTATAACTACCGAGGCAACACATCTTTGTTCAGAATTATTGCAGAAGCCTATACCCTCGGATGCATTAGATCTGTTCTCATGCTTTTCAGAGCAGGCTACTATCAATTTAATAGATTTAATTCTTATTGATTTAAACTAAAAATAAAGTATTTATCATTATGGCTTATTTGTTCTTACATAGCTTTTTGCATTAATGCGTCTTATTTTTAAAATATATGTTGTAAAAGGTAGGGGCGGGAGGGGAAGGTAGGGAAAAGGAATGGGATGATATTGAATTAAATATGTATTGCATAAAATAGACCATTTTAAAATTTTATCATTATTTTATAGTATATTTACATTAAAAAAAAAATAATAATAATTAAAAAACGGTATTTATCAGAGAATATTTACGATGGTTGGCAGAAGGTTTATCGGAAGCTCATCAAATGCATACTTCGAAGAAACAGCAACCTTTTTTGGATTCGTTGACACTCTTTCCTTTTTTTTCTCACCCACTTTTTTTTTTTTTTAAGTAAACCCATTTTCGTTAATAATTTTTTATTAGTTTATGGTAAATCAAATTTAAAAAAATAAATTTTTATTTTTCCATAATAGAATTACATTTTATCATACAATTTTCAGGTAAAGTTACGTACATCTATGTATATCTACGCATATCTAAGTACGTCTATGTATACCTACGTATGTATATCTTAAATATATGTATATTGAAGGCTTACATAAATATTACATAATTATATATGAAAAAATTCGTTACTATAAAATTAAATAAACTGTTTCTTATTTTTACTAAACGCACTTAAAATCATATAAAAACCAAAGAAAACAAAACAGTATACAGGGAACATTAAGGTTGCTTAACTAGTTATTATTATCTAACCCCTCTGTAAAATAAGCTTTAATTAACCTTCGCTACCAAACAGGCTAGTTGAACTATTTTTTATAAAGTCTAAAAACATTGGCTTTCCAAATCCTGTAGCGCAAGGGTCATTACAATTGCAAAATTGTTAGGTTTGCATATAAAATATAATAAAAAAATTTTAAATTTAATTCAAAAAAAATATTTTAAAACAAAAACTTAAATTTAAAAAAAAAGCTAAAATTGACCACAGAAAAAGGTTTTAGCCATACATCTGAACTTAGTAGATTTGAAAACATATATGTAAAAATATTGCGTGCAAAAATATTTTTTCATTTGGGACTAACATTCATATATATATATATATATATATATATATATATATATATATATATATATATATATATATATATATATATATATATATATATATATATATATATATATATATATATATATATATATATATATATATATATATATATATATATATATATATATATATATATGAATGTTATATATATATATATATATATATATATATGAATGTTATGTGTATATATATATATATATATATATATATATGAATGTTATATATATATATATATATATATATATATATATATATATATATATATATATATATATATATATATATATATATTTATATATATATATATATATATATATATATATATATATATATATATATATATATATATATATATATATATATATATATATATATATATATATATATATATATATATATATATATATATATATATATTACATGCCACATTACTTTGTTTCTCACAACGAGATAATACCTTTTTCTCATTTCTTCTGAACATGACAAACAGAGTCGATGACCACACTTTGTTAAAATAGGTTCACGAAGAGCCAATTTACATATAGGGCACTCATGATCGTCTGAAAGTTCTTGTAAAAAATTTACATCGAATCCACCAAACTTCTCTGCATCCAAACTTTCCATTTATATTTTCTTTGCTTCTATAAAAATGTACGTAGTTATCCTTTGCAACAAGTTTCTAATAGCTTATTTAAACTTTTATAGTTTTTTAAAATAAAAACAAAAATTTGTTTTTTCAAATTGTTTTTCTAAAAACAAAATTTATTCTTAAACTATTTAACTTATTTATCTACGATATCGACTTAGCAATCCTACACTTTATTGAATTTAGTTTTTTTTAAAATTAATCCATTATTTGTCATTACGTATTACAAATTAAATCAGAAAAGGCATTTATAAAACAATAAGTTTTAAACTAACTAATAAAACGTTTTTATGCAGTATGAGCAGCTAAGTATTATGAGCATTCTATAAAATTTCTACAGTGTGAGAAGTAAAGTTCAAGTTGCTTCGTATTATTATTTGAATTGATTTTTGCTATTATTTGAATTGATTGTGCTAATAATAGAAAGCTTTCTCAAAGAAGTCTTTATAAAGGAATTTTAATTTAGAGGACCTGGTTATAATTAAATATGGATTACCAAATAGTAAGCTGAAACTGCTGCGCGCAAATGTGTCAAAACTAAACATGATAAAGTTATAAACAACTATGATTTACATTCTGACAACCTGCTGTGTCCTGAAAAAATGGTCTTTAAAATCTACCTGTCGGAATATTAACAAAAACGTCTCGAGAAGCTTAACACAAAATTTAGCGAATAAAAAAAGCTTAGTACAAATAAAAGAAATAAAGAAAAATACATTGTGCATTGATGCAACCCTATGTTTTTGCAAAAAAGATAAATGACACCATACATCCAGGTAAATACCTTGTGTAAAATCTTTGCTGACAATATAAAACTAAGAGCTGTTATCAAAGACACCTCTGACTATCAACTTATCCTTGAGGGCATTGATCGCCTAGTTAATTGGGGCCACACATGGAGCATGAGTTTTAACGAGGGCACGTGGAAAGCTATGTTCTTTGACAAGAGAGTTAGCAACCGCAAATATACATTTATTGATAATTTGCCTGGCTCGCACTTAATGTTTACATAGCTTATCGCATCGGTAATTGCCACAGACCACCTCCGAAAGCGACCTTGATTTTGACCAACTTAAGTGACAAGACAAAGTCGCACACGTTATAGCCAGAGCCAACATGGCACTAGACATGTTAAAAAGAATATTTTACTATTTGTAAACTAATAGCATTTGTGTACTTTATACAACTTATGTACGACCACATCTCAAATTTTGCTCTGCCACCTGGAACCCCTAATATTGCGGAGACGATGATGCCTTCAAATCACCGCGAGAAAGAGCCACTACCCAGTCAAGACAATATCAATGTGATATCAAAATGATATCAAAAATTTCTAAAGCTATAATATCAAATAATGATCTCATTATGATTCTATAGAGTGAACTTAATTTATTATGGAATTTTACTTGTTAGTTATAATGCGCAGTAAAAATTAACTTTTTCTGTTTTATTGTGCAAATAGCATTTTTTCAATTTTAGGAAATCATATTTTGATACCATAATGATATCAAAAATTTATCATACTGCAATATAAAAGATGTATATATACAGGAGCAGATCAAGGACTTTATATATGTGTAGCTAAAATATGTAAAATTATGTCATATTTGCAACTGCCTAATAAGTTTGCTAATCTACGTCAAAATGACATCCAATAAGTACTTCAAAATGACGTCCAAAATATAGTGCTCCAAGTGAAAATAATAAAAATGTTAGAGCAAAACAGTAATTGTAAATATAAAAATTATTAATCATTATCACTCAACCATAGCCAACTATTTTAGGCTTAAATAGCAACTCTACACATCTCTCTCGTGATGCTGAAAACATTCTTATAATCCTGCCTAAATCTGAAACAATTTATGTATAAAGTGACATAAAGGCAAGGCCACTCAACCACTGTTTAAAAACTCTACTTCTTGAATAGATTTTTAATCTCTAAGTATTATAGCTAAAAAAAAATTCTTAAAAGTTAAGGGATATTGGGGAAACCAGTCATTGTCATCACTTTTGTTTAAGAAATACTAAATAGGGATTTTAATTTATTTTTCCAAAGAAGCACCAATACCAAATCTGCATAAAATAGAGGTTGGAGGCAAAGATAAGAATGATAAACATCGAGAAGTTTATGAAAGTAGGTTTGCTAATCTTAGTTACCTTTTAGGCAATTTAACATGGCGGTTAGATCTGCAAACGTCCCATATAAACCAAGATGCGTTCTGTTTGAAATTTTTTATAATTAATAAGATTAAGATTATTACCAAGTTTAATTTCTTGAAGCATGTTATTTTAATAGTCAATTTCAAGACTCCGAAATTCGAGATACAGTGTAGAGATGAGCATATTGGGACAGCGGGGCATAACAGGACAGTTATGCCTGAAGCAATATATCTCAGCTAATAATAATCTTTTTCAAAAACTTTTATTGATAAATTATTTATAATTCAATTATTGCGCTTCATAATTGAAATAAAAATTTCATTTCAGAAATATCAAAATTTATTAAAAGTTCCAAAATGCATCAGTAAGTTTGCGAAAAACATAATTTGCGTATTTTTTTAAGGAAAAGAATTTATCTTGAACTCTTGCAAATTTGCTTTATCTATAAAAAGTTTATGTTTTTCAGACAGTTTATTTTATCCTCTTTTAGAATTTGGTTTGAAAAAAAAATGCAATTGAATTTTTTGAGTAGTATTATTTTCAGTATAATGACTTTTGTGGGGCAAATCGGGACAACGAAAGTATTTATTTAATTAAGTATATTACTACCATTTCGCAATGCTGCTTGCAGTTTGATGATTTTATTTTTAATCTTAAATATTGTATTTTTATTTGGAAAATCAATTTAGAAATAATTTCAAAAATGTTTCTAATTTTATAACTTAACTTTGATTAATAATAGTGTTTAATGTAAACAAAGAAGGTAAGAAACTATTTTAGAAAAATTAATCATCCAAAACGGGATGAAATTCAGTTTTACTGTGAGTAAGCAGAAACTTAGAACCAGAAAAGCTGTTGATGCATATGACATATTTGTATTTACTCTACAGTGGCATAATACTAATAAGCCAGCTTATCAAAAATGTTGCCGAACAGTTTCAGGAAATTTTTTGTGTGACTTATGTGATTTATAAAGTATGTTTAATTTCAAGTTTAGTAGCTGTTAACAATTTAATAATTTATAGGTTAGAGTAGAGCAGAGGTATTTTATAATAAAACAAACGAAAAAATATTTATATATTTTTTTGTGTATTTATTTCTTTTTTGTGATTTATGGGTGTATGGGCATGTAGTTTCTATGGGTACGTTACTTTTTTGATAGTTTAATGGCTTAACATAGAACTAAAGAAATATAATAACTAAATTTGCTATGCAATGTATATTATACCTATTGAGTTCTCGTCTAGCCCGATATCTCTCATTTTGATTACAATTTATTTCAGCTCGCCTTGGTTCATCTCTTTCATTTTGACGACAATTTATCTTTGCCTGCCTAACCTGGTTTCTTTTAAAATGAGTAAGTCTAATAATTTCACTTTCAAAATTGTCAGACATTATTAAGCATCAAGGATTTTGTGTGAAAGTAATGCTTGAAATAATAAAAGTTGAACTTTTATTTTTTGATTGAAATTTAAGTTTTCTTTCTTAAATTCATTAAAAAAACAGTGTAAGCAAATAAAAAAGCATAATATAATATTCTAATTATATTCTACTCTATTATTAGTCATATGTAGATGTTTTAAAATAATGGAGCAATGTGTAAATATAACTATTTTCTATCAAGCACTACAACTAAAGTTATAAATAAATTGATATAATCTTTTTAATCGAGTATTGTTATATATTTAAAGTGGTTGTGATAAATTATTGATAAAATATTATTAGTATTTAACAAATAAAAAAAATAATAAAAAGTTATTAAAAAAACAAACTTTTTACATATAAGAACTCATAAATGAATTAAAACAAAAAAATTATAAGGCCTGTCGCCTCAGCAAGTACTGCCAGCATTGAACGACACAATGTAATAATCGTTGAAACGTTATCAAGCTTCTTTATGACAAACGGTATGCAACAACTCCTTTGTAAAGAGTTCCAAAGTTGTCTGCACCTACATAGACACAACTACAATATTGTGTCTGCTCTTTATATTCTTTTTAAAGAAAAAGCTCATGGTAATTAGTATTATATCTTTAAAAAATTAACCTTTTTCACATTGCGTTTTAACAGCCTTTTATGCATCAACTCCACCTTGTTTTATTTAATAAAAAAATTTAAGATCACGAAAACGATTCAAGTTTAATTCCGTATGCTTATTTAGATGTATACCTTGATAACAAAGTCTACAAATATCTAATCATATTTGCAGAATATTGTGGTAGCCCATATCATTACAAAATGTTCTTCTATTAATTTTAAAAAAAGGTATATTTCTGTTACAAAAAGCTATGATATTTTTAGACTACAAGCTTTGCGTGACCAACTCATTGGCTCGCAACTAAGAATTTTACCTGTGTCCATTGATAATACTGTAAAAACTTAATTTTGTGAAGAAAACGTTACCAGCTATCATCAACTGATACTGCAGTGTTAACAATATTTGAAGAAGATTGACAAATTTCTTTCACAGTATCAATTATTGTTTCTTTTGCGAAAATTTGAGCACAATCAGAGACAAGTTTAATAATTTTGTTGTAGTTATTTTTAGTCATAGGTTTAGGAATGTTAATTAAAGATGAAAACTTTTTTAATCCTGAAAAACTTTGATCAAATGAAGACATTTACAATTCTATTACTTATATCAAAAGTTTTTTTCCCAGAACATGTCTTTGAAGTATAAAATTCATTTTTTTCATAGCAGTTAGAACAGCATTTATTTAACATTGAGGAGAATCCTTTATTTTTTTGGAAAAACTTTCTGAAAGATTTAAATTTGATTGTAATCATTTTTTGCAATAAAAGTTAAATATACCAGACAACTTTTCAATATCATCA